ATTCTTTTCGTTCCCTCCCACCCTCCCTCCCGCCTTCCCTTCCGCCCTCGTTCCCGCCCTTCTCCCTTCCACCAGGCCTCTGCATCATTTCTCTCCTTCCCGCTCGCCCCCCCGTCCGCCCTCCCGTCTTTCCCCACCTGTATAGGGCCGGACCATGTCCGCGTTGTAAAACATGAAATCGTGGGCGCCGAAGGTCTCCACCACCACCCGATGCACGCTCATGCCCTGCTTGTTCACCGTCCGCTGCTTGTGCAGCTCCTTGGCGATACTCCTCGGCAAACGCGCCTCGTTCAAACGCGTCAAAAACTCGGGGGCGTCTCCGTACATCACAACCATGCCCGGCCAATACGCCAGCACCTGGTTCTTTGATCCTCCTGGCTTCCGCTGCCCCGCCCACACGAAGCGGAAGGGTTGGGCCCATATGCAGGAAAATTCCGTACCGCGCAACCGTCGCTCCCGGAGGCTGGCCGTTACCAAATGAAACGTATTTTCAAATTCCGCCCGAATTCCGGCCCATTCCACCGTCTGTTCCGGTGGCCCGTCGCCGGGAAACGCGTGTTGCAAGCCTTCCCACACCCTGCCCACGGTCGGCCCCTCCGTCCCGCCCTCCGCCCCTCCTTCGCCCTTCTCCGCAGCCAGGAACGCGTCGAAACCCACCACCCGTTCCATTTGCCCCCAGGTCCCGTCCTCCTCCTCCAAGGCGCGCAGGACCCTGGCCCCGACCGTGCGCAGCTCCCTTAGGTCCCCTGGCTTCAAAGGGAGGTCGCGGCAGAAGACGAGCCGTTCCTCTCGCGCCTGGTGCTTCTCCCGCACCGCCGCGGGCTCCCATACGCTTCCTCCCTCCCTCCCTCCCTCCCCGCCTTCGTCCACCATCACTTCCAACCAGAGACTGCGCGCGTACGTCTTCAGATGGTTGGCATGAGCCAACACGGAGGGTGCCGGGGTGCCTTGATGGTACCGCTCGCAGTTGGCGAAGACAAGCTCGATGTCCTGAGAAAACCGGCGAATGCTCCCATAGAGGCCACGATAGAGCTTACGGTGCACGGTGCCCAGGTCCATGGGGTGGGGAACGACGCGTCGGTACTGAGTGGGAGGGGAAAGGAGTGTGGTTATGTGTGGGGAGTGAGAGCGGGATGATTCGCGAGACCCCCGAGGGCCGGAGCCGAGGAGAGACTCCATCGGAAAGAGGAGCCCGGCACCCGGGAGAAAAGCCGCAAGAATAAGGCAAAGGTCTGGAATCCTCTTCGGCTTGAAAGATGACTCTTTTGGCACACCAGACAGCAAAAAAGAGCGTCCGATCCTCCGCTTTCCGCGCCGGCCTCTAGCATGCCATGGATTCCTCCATCACCTCGATGCAGCGCACAGCCCCCCACAACAACACACATGCATACAAGCTCATGTAATATTGCCCCCCGAAAGATACAGCGCCGACAAATCCCGAAAAATGCCGAAGAATCTCCTTCCCGACAAGCCCGATGAACCCATCTCCCTCCTCACCTCTTCCCACACCTCCGGATGCAGCTCCGACACCGGGTGGCAAAAGTCCCTGGCGAAATATGGGCTGGCCAAGCGCCGGACGAATTCCAAGCAGCGTCTCCTTTCCTCGGGCGTCAAGGAGGCTTTGCCGGCGGGGGCCCTAGGGAGGGGCACGCACAAG